CGCCAAAAAATATTTGGGTTCGACCCTCCCCAGTCCTGCTTCTCTGATCTGAATTCTCTCAGAAACCGGAAATGTCGTCAAGCATCGTCATAGCAACAGAAAACTTCGCAAAAGCTGCAAAGCGAAGATATATGCAGCATGGAATCCGCCCTTCCGAGCGGCATGGTGCTAGGACAACACTCAAAAGTAAACGGCATGATGGAAAAGTTAGCCAAAACGAGTTTTTGAGTGGCAGAAGACTGGGTCGAGCTTATTCGCGCCAATATTATTAACAAGTCAGTAAAGAACGAAGCAAAAGATCAACGATTCTTTGACGAAATTCTCAAAGTTTTGGAAAAGGGAGAAAAGGATCTGTTCGAAAAGCCGAATTGGGGAAAAAGAAGAGACCGAGTTTGTTGAAATTCTAAGAACGATGCTCTGCTTGAAATGATTGTGTGAGAATTAGAAGAAGAATTAAAGGAAAAATGACAGAATAAAGAACCGAATTGAAGATGTCGCAAATGCGTCTCGAAATCAACGAACAACAGTCCTTGAATGATGGAATGATTTCAGTTTCCCGTACCACACGTCGCCAGTATCAAAGGAACTGCGCGTCCTAGTAGATAGGCAACCTCCATTTCTCCTTTGACTCAGCATGCTAGAGCTCGATAACAAAATTCGGAGATAATTTAGTGAAAACCTCGCTTGTTTCTTTTTTTTTTTTTTTTTTTTTTTTTTTTTTTTTTTTTTTTTTTTTTAGTTTTTTCTTTTTTTTGTTTTTTTTTGTTTATTATTGTGTTTTTTTTTTTTTTTTTTTTCCTCTTCATTCAGAGGCTGTTGGGTAGTCTGTAATTATGCCTAGTCATCGAACCCGCGAGATCGCATGTCCGCGAACACGAGCATGCAGAATAGTTTCGTAAAGGATGATTTGTACAAGTGAATGGTGTGCCGACGGACGACGCCACCTGCGCTAAATAGAAAAGGTGCGGGGTTGCATGCTGTTACATTCAGGCCTTTAGAAGGCCGGCTGCATGAATATTTCACATCTCTGTAAAACTCTTGAGCTCCGGAAAGCCCTTTTTTTGCATGTCTATGAAAGGAGAAATATCCTTTGATCAAGAACCCAATAGAAGCTTACGTAGTCATTAGGATGCGAGAGCAAAAGCGTGGACCGATACAAAAAAGGAATGAGTGCGCTGCTCACAAAGTGTGCTCTGCGGGGCGCTATCACGCGGCAGCAATTTGCGAGAAAGAGCGCGTGAAAGTGAAATTCAAGCGCCTGCCCAATGTTCGTATTTGCTCGGCGTATCATCACGGACAAATATATGATGTCGATATAGAGCACACTGTGACTTCAATTAGCATAAACAAATACGGCCAGCGATGACGACGAGTAGCCGCGAACTAGCTATAGATCTTCTATTTACATGCGAGAATCAAGGGCGTATATGGTGCTCTTGGATTGAAAAATATCGATTGACTATTGTTTGTTGTGAGACAGAGGAAGGAAAGCACTTATCGATTCCAGGTGAAACTGAAGCATTGTACCCTTGTGTTTTTATGACGCATGAATGCAAGAACGAGGCCTGCCCAAGGCCGGTTGTACTTTTAGTTGACCGGTTTGAAAAAACATATTGCAGTTTGTTATTGTCAAACTTTATAAGAATGTATCTCTTTATTGTGTAAATTTTTGGATGCAATGTGATCAATTTTCGTTATTATTAAATAAAAAGGATTAGTTACAATGTAATGTTTGAGCCTAGAAGAAAAGGACCTTACCGTGACTCTTACACCTACAGCCGAACCCCTGTCATAATCAAAGTATATGTTCACCTGCGATATTATGGTGGATTGAAACATAGACTTATCATCCCGATATGACTTTTTGTTTTCGCCTTGCTACAAAAACAAAAAGCATGTATTTTCCATTTAATAGGGTTTCTAAAAAACATTTTAGATATTCTTCTCGTCGAAAAAGGCTATAAATCCAATCTGTTTAGGTAACGAATATTTGCATGTTCATGTGACACGTGACAATGACCAGGCCTAAACGGATTTCGAATTTGAATGAAATAAACAATTATTCTTAATTTCACTGCGCAAAAGCAGGCGGTGTGCTGGCCATGTTAATGCGAAAAGTAGCCAGTTCTCTTCCTTTCTATCGTTTTTGGCGACAGCCCCTCTTTTTGCTGGACAGCCCCTTGTTTTTTTATTAACACTATACGCTGGCCAAAAACAATTTTTCCGAGTATCTTTCTCCTGTGTTTCCTTATATTTATTCAAAGTGTATTTTAACTTGTTTTGTATTTATGTTGTATTTCTAACATGAACAGCATTCGATTACTTAATTCTCTAGGAAACAGAAAGTAGTTAGATTTATAAAGATTTGAATTATCGAAAGGCGCTAAATGAATCAGTCAACCGCCGAATCTCGGATCTCCAGAGAAATCCAGAGTTATTTGGGATATTTGAAAATGAGAGTTGAAAAGGCCGAACAGAAACAACAATAAAGTGAAAAATAATTTTGTTTCTTTTAGCAAAAAATTGAATTTTGCAGAAGAATAATAGTTAATTTTGCTGTAACGTTTTAATTGATGTAGATTCCTAAAGGAAAATTTGTTAGAGTTAGTGCACGTTGCTGGAAACAAATTTAGTAATTTCAATTATGGAGAGTACATAGTGAAACCGTAACAGATATTATGTTGCTTTTCTATTAGAGGTTTGTCGAAATGGCTAATATGAAATTTTCATGTATGTAAATATGTGAAGTTAAAGAAATTTAAAAAATTTTAACATTTGAGCATCAAAGGCAAGTGACAGATACAAAGGATAGAAAAGCTATCTTTGAAAAGAAAAATTGTGAGTAAGTGTGATACCACTAACACGCTCAGTGATTGGCCAATATTGATTGAAAGTGGCTTGAGAGCGATCTTGTTCGATCCATTTCCCAGAATGGCGATTGTCGTTTCCCAATGCGATTGTCCCGTTTCGCAAATGGCGATTGTTCGTTCCCAAATGGCGATGCGTTCCCAAATGGCGATTGTCGTTTCCCAATGGCGATTGTCGTTTCCCAAATGGCGGATTGTCGTTTCCCAAATGGGATGTCGTTTCCCAAAGCAAACAGTTCAATGACGAAATTTACCAAAATTTTTTCTGACAAAATTCAAAACAAACACGCCCCTTAGAGGTCAGCCGAATATGCACGCTTAACAAACTGCCTTAGGTGTTACTATGCTGGAAGCCATTTCGCGTCTTCACATAAAGCTCAATTCGCATTCATACGACCAACAGGCAACAACCGAAATTTGAAATTTAGCAACTTTTTTAAAATTTAGCACTTTAGCCGAAATATAACGTCATATTAGCAATTTTGGCGAAGATCTCTTCGATCTAACTTGTTTTGAACACGAATACTAGGCTTATGCTGCGTCATTCGTGCGATGCTTAGGATATTATCTTCGTACAAAGAATTGAATGAAAGACTTCCTTAAGATTCTGTTGCTGTTGAAATATCCATGACGCTTTACAGCAGACCTGGATCAAATTGAATGGCAAAATTTCCAATCTCGGGTGCGGATTCGCCATTTACACGGGATCCGTCCCCGGTCGGATTCATATGGTGTCGCCTTTAATGGGGTTGTAAAAGTTTCGGATAGAGATTGAAATGTATCCGATCCAGATAGATCCAACCTTGAATTCGATCCAGTCGGACCCATACAGTATCGCCTCTGAAGGCGGTCCAAAAAATGTACCGATAGCGGATCCCAAAATAATACAGGTCAGTTCCCGTGTAAGCAAATCCGATCGACCCACTCTCAAGTACATGGATCTAAAATTTCTTTCTTCTTAGAATCTAAACTTTATTAAAACGAAAAATATCATAATTATGTATTCTTAGATACATTTTTTCGAATGGTAGTATTCGCGAGTAAAATCGAATGTGCTGTGTAGCTAGTTTGATTGTTATCATGTAATGAAAGCTAATTTGAATTTGCATCCAAAATTTTTATAATTCTTGCACTTCCATTTGCCATGCTACTGCTTCTCATATTATTTTCTTCCCGGAAGCGGAAACATAGCATGTGTGAAAGTTCTTTTCGTCGACTCTCAGATATGAATATGATAATGAATCGGGTGTAGCAGAAGTTGGTAACCAGATGCGGATCAAAAGACGCATAGAGAACAGAGTGGTGC